CGTAGTGGCAGTAGTTGTTTTTGCTGTTGCTGCTGCTGCTGTTGCTGTTGCTGTTGCTGTTGCTGTTGCTGTTGCTGTTGCTGTTGCTGTTGCTGTTGCTGTTGCTGTTGCTGTTGCTTTTGCTGCTGCTGCTGCTGCTGCAGCTGTTGATGTTGTTGTTGGTGGTGGTGTTGGTGGTGCTGCTGCTGACGCTGCCGCTGCCGCTGCAGCTTGTGCCGCTGTTCTTGTTGTCGTTGTCGTAGGCGTCGTCGTAATAGGAATTACAAACAGTCGTAGTGGTCGCCGTCGCCGTCGTCGCAGCTGTAGCAGTACCGTAGCAGCAGCATGAGCGGTAGCTGTGGTCACAGCGTCGTGGTCCTCTCCCTCCCTCTTCTGGGCATGAGAGGGTGGTCCTCCTCCTCCTTCTCCTGCTCCTCCTCCTCGTCTTGCTGCTCGTTCTTCATCGTCTCGGTCGAAGTCTCAGAGGGTCAGTCTTCTTGGAGAAATCCAAACCTATGCTAAACTGAGCCCGGCCACAACCAAGAAGTGGTTCGGGCCGCAAACACGCTCCGTGCCCCCGAGGATGGTCTGCCAGTGCTGGGGTTTCGAGGTTGTGGGTTGAGAAGTTCAGGTGCAGGCTATAGGCCTCATGGCGTTTGGGTGTCGAGCGGTTGACAGATTGATCTCGCCAACAAGCCGAATCGAGGCAGCTCGCCGTCCATGCCCCCTACCTTTGAACGCAACATAGCCCAAAAGCAAACGCCAGTGTAAACTGCAACACATAATGCGGTAAAAACGAACCGAGTGCACGTGGCAATCCAGACCGCTCGTTTTGTCGAGAATCTGGCGCTGGGTAGTCGGATGGTGATGGTTCATCTGTTTCGTTACTTTGCACCAAGCACCGGTCAATAAGTATATGGAGAAACCAAATCCGGGCTGCAGAAGCCTGAAGAATGTGATCGAATGTTTCGAGTTGAACATGTGAAGCTACAACTTCAGCGTCCCGGGTGTGGCAGATGTAAGGACGTGGCCCCCTTAGTTATGGCATGCTGCTGTACGGTCAGGAAGGCGCGCTGATGGTCAGGTTGCAAGGCGTAGCGTCTAGGGGGCTTCAGGGGCGTGCCGCATTGTGCTAAACTTGTTAAACCTGCTCCCCAAGCTGTGAAGTCAAACACGTAGCAACAGATTCGTGCGCAAACGTAGACCGAGCAACCCAACACCGCGTGCCCAACATACACTGTCCAGTCAGCCCGACGGATCCTTGGGAGGAATCGCTGTAAGCTTGGCCCGGAGCTCATCAGCAGGTGCCAGGATTACCTCAGAAGCTGAAATGATCCTGTGGTCATGCTGAAATACTATGATATACTCATTAACGCATCTAGCTACAGCACGAACAGGATTCTGATCTTCTGCCGCTGCAGGGTACTATGTATTCGTGGCTGCAATACGACCCTGAGCCTCAGGCAAAAGACTCAAGAATGACTTTGCTGGGAGCCGTTTCGGCCGGAAGCGATCAAATCTTGGCAAGTGTAGGAAGATCTCATGTAGTCTGGCAGTGTTGAGCACATAGCGGTCAATCCTGTCCTAATGAAGTCAGTGAGTCAGTGAATGTCAGTGATCTCACTTGCACGAACCATCTGACGAAAGAGGGCATAGCCGGAAGCTTCTAGCAGGACCTTTCGGCAAAGGGCCGCAACCACCGCACATTAGCTCTTGCTCTTCCGACTCTTGGGCATGTCGCTGTGTCCCAGGCATCCAGGAGCATCACCAAATCCTCGGGCTGAAGCGTCGTGTCCAGCAGGCCTGAGCTGAGGAAGCCGCTTCAGGGTTTATGGCCTCGAACGTCGCTGCAGTCGCTGCAGGCTTTGTTCAAATTCGAGCTGTCTAAGAAGGGAACCTGCGTGGCTTAGGCTCAATGGGGCCCACATCCCAAACTCCAGAGTCTCACAAGATCGCACAGCCCGAACCTTGACGCCGGAACTCGGACATTATCAAACACCGAGACTTAAAAATCTTGAACCCTCTGGACCCTGGGCCTTAAAGCGCTGAACTTCACAGGCTTCGAGATCATTTTAGTTCTATACAGGTACCCTCGAAGCCACGACACGGCGCAGTGTCCGCTCGTAGGCCAGAAACTTCGTGGCAAATCCTTTCCAGGGCTCACCGAGTCCGACGGTGTGGAAGCGGAAACCTCGGAAGGCCCTCTGCTTTGTGGTTTTGGGGCTCTAACTCTACGGTTTAGGGTTGAGCGAGTCGTTTCGCAGTTTAGCCTTAAGCTGGGACATGAGTCACAGGAAGGACCCAAAACAAAACTAGTGATGATCTGATCTAGTGATGGCTAGTGGAGCAGAACAAAGCGGAGAGGGGATATTTGCGGAAATGAGTGGAGTCAGCCGCCCGATTAAATGTGAAGTTAGACATTCTAGACTCTAGACTATTACACGAAATGTTCTGGCAGAGACCTTGAAAGGCCTCGGCCGTTTGCAGAGCCATGGGCCAGAAAATGATGCCTTCGGTTACTAAATTGTACTGGGACACACAGTCAGGCGGTGGGCTGCAGATTCTTGTCGCTGATTTTCGAAACTTTGAACCTGATCGGATCTCAATTAGCACGAGATCAGCTGTACACCCCTAACCCCGACAGCTCCGGCGCGAGGACCGCCTGCTCCGTGAACTACCACGAAAGCAGACGAGTCCCGTCACGCTCGTGCTGCATAAAGCGCTTTGGCCTTGGCATAGAGCGCCTTGCCCTGAGCACTCTTGCCGCCTACCGCGCAAAAGCCTTTCATGCCCAGCTCTTTTCTCGCGGTCATCACCGCACTGATCCACTTCTGCCCCAACTTCTGGAACAGCTTGCCGCTGGCGTGCTTCTTCTTGCTCACCACCTGTTGATTTTGAAGACTCCCCACATTCGGAGGACTCCCGCTAAACCGTTCATGCAGATTTGCCGCAGGATGTACCACCGGCAATGCAGAGCACCCTGCCTTGCCATATTTGTTCTTCATGAGGTGCATCTTCTGGAGGCCTGTCGACGTCTTCTCCTCGCAGAGCTGCATGCTTGAAACAGCTCGTGAAGCTACCTGTACGGAGACATCATGCCCGCAGCCCATGGCGGGATAACCGAAGCTACTTGTCAATTAGCTGGACTTTCTGCAACAGGTCACCAACTCAGATCTCCTTGCGGCCCAGGAAGACAGCTGCCTTCGCCAGCTTGCCACGAGCGACTTTGCTGACGGCTTTCTTCTTCATCACCTGAAAACTCCGACTGCTGGGGGAGGGAAGGTGCCGCCGCCAAACAAAAAAACAAGCATACAGCAAAGGCTGAAACAAAGAGCTGCCCCTGCCCAAGGACCGGCCTTCATTCCCTTCATGGCCTTGGCCTTCTTGGCCGGGGACTTCATTGCCTTCATCACGGTCTTCTTCATAGGCAAAGCCATGGATCAGACACGGTGAAGCTCTGAAGAGTGGTCGGATGGGGCGGGCAGGCTTGAGGTTGCCAAGTTTTCCGGACACGTTCGCACACATGAATACTTGTAACCAGGTCCCTCGCCACGAAAAATCGGCCTCTGTCTCTAAACCTTTCTTTTGCAAGCGCTCTGTAGTTTGCTGTGCCAGTGCTTAGGAAAAGCCTGCCTCTAAAGCTGAAGTCTTCCATTCCCTCGCAGGATTGCGCCGCAATAGATCATTCCAAAGTCTAGTCTCTCACGCACCTTCGTGGGAGTGCAGAGTTGTGGATTTTGAAGCGACTAGCAGTGACCATGCTCTATTCCGGTAACTTGCTCAGCGCAAGGACCTGGACTGACTCTTACTTGACTCTTACTCTAAATTTCTTGCGTCTCTGGCGAGGACTCGTCTGTTCCTAAACAAGTTCTCTAACACGGACCCGGCCCCAGAAACTAAGCCCCTCTATGCCATTACGCACCAGGTCTGACAACAGCCCGGCTTTGAACCTTACGGGTCTCTGTTCCCTCACGAGGAGTCGCCAGAGTTCTCTAGCCTCTCACGAGCATGACTCTGACGGGGATCCGGCTTGGCTATGCACCGACTGTAGTCGCGTTTGCTGGAATGTGTGCTCGTTCAAACGAGACTTTGTAAAATGCCATCGAGCAGCCATTGCGGGCCGCACTCCGTTGCAGGATCGCAGTCTCCTGGGGGTTGTTCCAGCCTAGTCCCCGTGTCAGGTACTAAAAAACAAAATCCTACGTGGAATAGGACAGCCAAAAACTGGGAGTAATGTCCTTTATGAAGAGGACCGTTCCTCAGCACGGCTATACGTCGAAGACCAACCAACCAAAGCCCTAAACTGCCTAAGCCGCACACAGAGCCCATCCTGGCGATACTCCGTCGCGCACGCGAGTACGTGAACTGGACGGCTGGATGAGGACATCGCAGCCTTCGCCGCCCGAGCACCAGTGGAATTTCTTCGAAGTCCCGCTCCGCATCTCCAAAGCTCTGCAAAGGAGGATCCTGAGTCTTCGAATCGGGACGAGGCATGAGACAACGAAAGGAACCAATCCAACAACTCCTAGTGACAATCAGTGCGCTGTCAGCATCGCCAACACCGTAATCGCAGCCATCGTTAAGAACAATCCCTGCTATCCTCACTGTCATCATCGTCGTGGCAATCGCGAATACAATATGGAAGCATGGAAACAGGACATAACTTGTGGCAGCAGGGGGATCATATTTGCCGCGGCCATCGTAAAAGTAAATTATATTGCTGATCGTAACACTAATGCTAACAACAATGAACATTGTCATGGTAATGGCTTGCGTATTTAAAGTAGCCTGTGGCAACAAAACAACACCGTAATGTGTTGCCCAACATTAACCCAGGCTCCCTGGCTGCGGAAGGCCACGGCACATGCCACTGCACCGGCCAGGCGAGGAAGCTTGCATGGCACAGCGAAGAGTTTACGCCATGTCTGCGACATTGAGACTGCCAGAGGATCGGCAGCTGCTACACGGACAACTGCCGAATGAATTGGAACGTGGTTTGGATCCTCGTAAAGATACACTCAGACACGCCATTACTTTGTTTTATTAGATACACACATATGCAGTCCTATGCCTACAGGCATGCATATGCAGACACGTAAGAGGCAGAGAGAAAGATGCTCTGTACATACATTTACATGTATGTGCATATATACATATACACACACCTAATGTTCATGTGTTTATTTATTCATTTATGTATGTGTTCCTTGTATCCGAACATAAACATGTGTGTGTATATATATATATGCGAGAGACACAGAGAGAGAGAGAGAGAGAGGGGGAGAGAGAGAGAGAGAGAGAGAGGCAGATTGTAAACATGTGCCAATAACACAACAATATGCATCCGATGAGTACTTGGTTGACTTGAGCGATCTTACAGGTATTCATTGGCTGATGCAAAGAACGATCCCTTACACTTGGTATCGGAATCACTGGGGTTCTTGCTCGAGCACGGATCTGCAGGTCCAAACTTCACGAGCCAAAGGAGCACCCAAACGAAAACTTGAAGGAAGCATCCGCACAGAAAGTACACATCTTCTGGTCTCTGCTTCTGGGTGGGGCTGCTGACCCTAAAGGGCAAGCAACTAGGAAATGCGCAACTCGCCATAAAGTTAGTACAGAGAGAGAGAGAGAGAGAGAGAGAGAGAGAGAGAGAGAGAAAGAGAGAGAGATAGAGAGAGACACGGAGAGAGAGACACAGAGAGAGAGAGAGAGGATAGACAGATGAACGCAAATGAATAACTGCTACCTAGCTAGCTAGGTGGCTAGGTAGATGGACAAGTAGATAACTGATAAGCACACACACACACACACACCCCATATGCATATATGTATGCATATAAATATATATATACACACACACACATGTATACAAATATTTGTATCAAGTTCGCCACCAAGCAGGTACCTGCCGGAGCTCATCAGCCTTCCGCGACTTCTCCTGCCGGCCCACTGTTGCAATTAAGTATGGGCTTGCAGCTTGCACAGAATCCAGAAACTTGATGGCGGCTCGGAGGAACATTAATCGTCGCGATGTCATTCACATTCCTTCACCACAACATGTTCGTGAAGAGCAAGTCCCAATCGCAGATATCAGAGTCGGGTTCGGCTCCATCTTCGTTCGCACGAAACTGGATTGGAGCATCAGAAGTGGGGAAATGCTGGCTTGGTAAGCGGCTGTTGCTGGCTCCGTCATGATGTTGAAAGCCCTGCTACTCTTTGTGGTGCTCCTCGTGTATGGTGTTGCTGGTTCAACGGGAAGAAGCATATCTATAGAGATGACTCGACCAAGAAGACGAGGGTGATTACTTACATGAAACAGCAATCCCAGCAGCAGGAAGAGAAGGAGGGGGTATGTGGACCCTGAGCGCACATCTCGTCCCCAACAGGGAAAGGCCTAAAGCCGAAGCATCGACACTGCAAACCTGGCTACTTTACATCCCCACTCTCACGAAGAATCCTGAATCGGATCCTGAAGCTTAGACTCGAAGGAGGAACGAAACCAGCCCATCCCCCTTGGCCAAGCACTTTCTGAAGCGCTTCTAAGCTCTGTCGGTTCTTTGCCTGTTGCATGGCGAAGAGGACATCTAAACGAGAATTTCGGCAAGGCGTTCTGAGGCTCCCGTCTCATCCCTCTGATTTTTCTGGGCTTAAACAAAGCCGGGCAGTACGAGTCTCAAACATAAGGAACCGGAATGATTCGTTTTTCCTTCGTGACCTACCATCGCCACATAAACCGCCCATCATTGTTTACATTGACGTCCCGGCTAAGGTCCAACATCGGCCTGAGCATCCGATTCTGCACTTGTGCCTTTAGAGTATGGACTAGACTAGTCATGCCTTACGGCCTGGTGCCTGCACGACTAACACACACTCACACACACACATACATACACATATGCACATGGGCAGACACGTATAGACACACAGTCACATGCCTGCGTGCGCTTATACCTGCAGGGCTCTACAGGCGCTTGGGCTGTTAAGATGCAAAGCAGTCTTGCACACAACAACTGATGTTCTGATGCTACCACGAGCCCGACTTCAACTTGGAGACCTCCGCTTCGCCTATGCGTGAATTAATGAAACCACCCCTGCAAGGCACCTTCACGGTGTTCAAGCGCCGTGTTCCTTCTTGCACCTGGGGCTGACTAAAAGTCAATGCGGGAAAGCATTTCGTGGCCTGTTGAGGAGATTGGATTTCGCACGCAAACTTCGGAGCTGACGAGACTTGCCTGATTTTTGCACAAGGACCCAACAGAATTTCCAAGCAAGGGCTTGATGACTCTTGCACGCATGTCTTACAGAGACTGTCCTCTGCCACCGGCCTCCTGCTCGGTGTGCGCAAGCCGGGCCTACTCATAGAGTGCTGTTGTACTGGTGAGCTGAGGCCATGATTGGGAGGACTGGCTCCAAAAGCTTTGGGGCTGTTTCCACTACGACACACCTTTCCATGTACACACAACATACATACAAACTGAACCAAACATACACAGATATACTCACATGCATATTCGTAAAATACACATTGTGCATACATCTATACATATACATGCATGTGTGGAAATATATGTATATGTGTATGTGTGAATATATATATATATACATATGCATATACGTGCTATTGTCCACTTACTTTGTATATGTATATCTCCACTCCACACTGAAGTCCTAAAAACCGACTAGGTCGGAGAGACACCATCGATCGCAGTTTTTGCATGCCTAGCTCGGCCGACAAGACCCCGGTGGTCATCCCTGGAACGCACACCGCAAGCCCTGAGCTTCTGATTCTAGGAGCAGCAATTTCTCAAGCGATGCGTAGGGCACAGCATGTCAAGAGAGCTTCGAGGCGCGAATTCCCGAATTGTGCAACGTGGCAAAACTCGAGGCCTGACTCGCATAGCAGCCGTTTCTGCGAAATCAGCATGACTTGAGAGAGCCCACCGGCCCACAGATGAGATTGCCCAGAATCAGACGAAAGACATCCTGCTGCGGCTACCGGACTGCACCGAAACCTAAATCAAGACGACCTTCGAAGCATCAACCCTGAGTACGCCAAACCTTGGACTCAATCGCAGCAGCTGTAGATAGACTGGGATTCTAGGGAACCTTCAACTGAAGTTGCATATCAGCTAGATACGACAGGAAACATTATGAACACGTGCTGGAAAATCTTACACAAGGCAGTCACACCAGCCACCTAAAGCGGATGAAGAGCCTGCTTCCGCTGCAGCTCTGCCTCCAACTCCTGCAAGGCGGCTTCCAGAAGAGGGACAAGTTTGTACTACGGGGTCTTATAAGGGATATTATATGGGACGAAAAAGGGTACTGTAAAGGGGTACTATAATGGGTACTAAAGGTCAGAAATGTGGGAGCAGCTTTGCTCAGGGCGAGCAGCCAATTCACCTTAGAGGGTTCCGGACTGTAGAAGTAAGTCCAGATCTCGCATACGATCACCGTCCCCCGAGTACAACTGTATATTTTGCCGTATTTCGATCTCATCACGATAATGATTCGCTCCAAAACAGCACTCTTATCATGAGTGCAGTCATTCAACTACCATCATGAACAAACCACTCCTTGACGCTACCAGTCAAAATATTTGTGGTTGGCATCCATACGGCCACTGAACCCCGCTGCCTCGGATCGCACGCGGAGCTTTTCGGACTTCTGCCGCAAGCCTCAGAGGCTAGCCGATAGGTCTAGGTACTCAGCACCATACCCAATGAGAGACCGAGGCGAGAGTTTGTTGACCGCGGTGTTATGGAGCATAATTGCTGCCTTCGCACCTTCTTCTCGTTGAAAGGAGTAGCACAATATATCGTGAAGTAGCAGTAGCAGTAAAAGTAGCAGCAGCAGTCGTAGACGCCGTAGGAGTAGTAGTAGTGGTAGTAGTTGTTGTCGTAGGTGGTAGCAGTACTAGTGCTGGTATTGGTACTGGCACTGGCACTTGTACTGGTACTGGCACTAGCAGTGACAGCAGCAGCAGCAGCAGCAGCAGCGGCAGCAGTAGCAGTAGCAGTAGTAGTAGCAGGAGGAGGAGGAGAAGTAGTAGTAGTAGTAGTAGTAGTAGTAGTAGTAGTAGTACTAAGAGTACTAGTAGTACTAGTAGTACTAGTAGTACTAGTAGTACTAGTAGCACTAGTAGCACTACTAGTAGTAGTGGTA